ACCCGGCATTTAGTGATTTCTACCCAACGCTAAATGACGAGATATACATAGAAAAACATTGAATCATACTTATGTGCTTCTAAAAAACTTTCAACGTTCAATTTTACCTGCAATATAACAATTTTCAACAAAATTTTTGATAGCTGAATAACGAATATGTACCAATTTTTCGGCATATCAAAATCGAAAGTTGTTTTCTGTTAAAAATTCACACAAATAAATATGTATAATATATATACATATACTGTTAATTGGGTTGTAGGCATGAGGTCCGAACTGGAGAACTCGGGACGCCAACATGTATGGTCAAACGTGCTTACTATTCCACTCAACGACAATCTGATCGATCGCTTGACGTCATCGTGCTTTGAAAGGCAAAATAAATGCACACAAGCCACACATAGATATTAAAATAATCATTGATTTACTAGAAACAAATCTAGTGCGATTACATTCCTTAAGTTTGATTCTGAGAAGTATGGATATGGTGTCTCCTCGACTGACGTGAAACGACTTTGCAGCGTGCTAGAGTGTTTGGAAAATCTAAATAGTATTTAGTTAAAAATAGAATAAATATCTGCTTTCACATTATTATACAAAAAGATTAAAAGAAGCGCCCGAAAATTGAAAGTCATCGTGAAACAGTTTTTAATTCTTTACCAACATTTAACACAAACAAACTTATCACGATGCTATGTGCAAAACTACAGTTAATTTAATCATTCTTGCAAAACGTCTGTCACATCAACGGCATATATGATCGGTATGCCCGCAAGGCCATTCATTTTTCTAGCTTGCAAAACAAAAAGTAGTTGAGTTTTTAGGAATAGAAAAAAGATCTAGATTTTTAATGAATTATTTCTACGGCTTCACTTTGAACAAGGTCCTTTACGTGCTGGCATCGATCCCTATTTGAAGCTATTATTTTTGAAAAAACCGTTTCGGCGTTGCGCACTCAATGTAATACTCTGGGTTAAATGGTGGATAGGGGATTCCACCAGCAGCCATCTTTAACTTGCAATTATCTTTACCAGAGCTCTGCAGAACAATTTTTGATTTACTTGCTTCAAACATAAAAAGTATAGTATATATTGAACACTGTTAGAAGTTTCCGTCGACTTTATATGCTAAAAATTATTACAATATAGAAAAAATGCCCCTAATCTATACTATTTGACAATGAAATCATTATTTCAGAGCAACGCCAACATAGAAAGGTCCAAACTTCGATACATATTAGAATTATGGAAGTTCTATGTGATTCACTAACTTGAACCAGCTGATATAAACACTCAAATCTATTCAATCTGGGAATGCTGTACATTATTGTTAATAGGAAGGAATGGTTTGTCGTATTATATCTGACAACATTCAGTAAACAATGTTTTTGGTGTTTTGCAGATTTTGTGTCTGTCCAAGAAACATTTTTGCATAAAACCGTCTTTGTATCAAGAACATATGCCTACATTAATCAATTTCCTTGAGTTTTATTTCAACTCTGACCAATAGCAATAATATAATTATATTTACTTACGGTTACTCACATATCGATTTGTTATACAAAAGGCTATCCGGCAAAATGACAGCTATATCTTGCTTTGCGCATAACGCCATAAGGTGGTTCGAAATACAAATAAATGTTTTAAACTACTCATTACGAATGCAGACTGTTTCACTCCAAAATTGGAACCTCCAGAAGTATGAACATAGTATATGTACCAGTTTAGGGTTAAGGTTGTGAACCATCTTGATGCACATACTTCGGGAGCAATTGATGGGTAATTAGAACACGAAGTATTTGGAAAGGAAAAGCAGCATGACCCGTATTCTGTACATATTTATTTACATTATTATACAAAATTTTCACAATAACTCAAGCAAAGCAGTCAGATATCTTCAAGGATGTCTGTTTGGTGTTTTCTGGTCGGATAACGTTGATCTGGCTTTACCAAATGGAGATTTAACAACTCAAATTTCTGCTTGTTAAAATTTTTGGCGGTACATCAAAAATGCATATTTTCATTACACATATATATAGAATTTCTTAGAATTTTTTGTTTTCCGATTGTGTTGTTGCTGACGGTTTTGAAAGATTCAAAGACACACATATATATATATATATATATATATATATATGATATATAATTATATGGATCAGGGATAACTGAAATGTGTAATAGTCTGATTCAAGTTTGGGTCGATCGCAACCAGCTACAACACAATATTTGCATTATATAAAAATTGTTAGACTCATTTAATTCACAGTATACCTACATGATTTAAACTTTCCATCTAAAGGAAATAAATCATTCTTTGTATACTCATTTGCGCGACTAACGTCATAAAGCATTTAGTTCTTTAAAACAAGCGAGGCGTTATGTCATTGACCTCAATGAAACAAGTTCATGATTTTCGAATCTGAATGCGTTTTAGTGTTTATTTATCATCTGAATAGATCCTTGAAACAAACCAAAATCGTTTCAAATTAAATCATATAGAATAAATTAATTACAAAAGTACAGCCAAATTTACCAATCACTCGATGTTTGTGTTTCAGGTTGTATATCTTATACCAAACCCCTTCCAATATATATTTAATTTTTACCTACTTCAACCAGACAATAAAAGTACGACGCTTTAAATATTATACATATATGACATTACTATATCGATCATACCAAAATGATTCTAAAAAGTTAATAGATTTTCATGGAATAGTGTGTGTCGTGATAGAATTCCTGATGTGGATTTTTTAGTACTAAGTCTTTTCTATATTTATTACATATGATTTATTTTGTTCTACACCAGACAATATTTCTCTTTTGGAATGCAGGTGCAATTCAATTTATTTATTGTTGGCGGCGTTTTCGAATAGATGTTCATAAGTTGAATTCAAAAACCTTAATCTTGAGGGGTATTTTTACTTATCGATCTTAAGATCGGTAAGTATATTGATAGGTATTTGTATGTATGTCTGTCTGTCTGTGTGTCTGTGTGTCTGTTAGATGCACGCGATATGTCACGAAAGCGAGATTGAATCTGCTCCAGATTTTGCATGTGCATTCATCTTATCTCGGACCAGAAGCCTATTGATTTTGGGCGAATTATGTCGTATAATTAGCGAGTTATCAATCAATTATTGATATAGTGATCTAGATTTTTGTAAAGCGAGAGAATTTTGAAACCCGCCGAGTGTGTGTGTGCGATGCGCAGTGCGCAAGTTACAAGAGCGGATGAATCAAACTGCAGTTTCTGTTTTGGGGGATCCCCTAACTATCGATCGATAAGTCCTCGGTTTCCAACCGATATTCTCGTTTTTATCTTGTTAGCATCAAACCATCGAAACGTAAATCACGACAACCACGAACTGCCAGGAAAATGGAGTACTATCTTTGCCGTATTTATAATGACAATAATGGATAGTGCGCAATCTCCATAAAATAAGCGCGAACTCTAATGCGAATGTAGTTCGATGGTAATGTAATCCTAGCGACCTAATCGAAATATAATTTGCAGCAGGACAACATGATAATTTATTATCGTGAATGCTTGATATTGAATTCGAGTATAGCGAAGACGAGTGTCCAACTCAGTGCTCTGCGAAAAGTCCGTTAGATTATCATTATTATTGCGAGATTACATTATCATTAGAGCAAACATAAGTTTTGAAACGTACATAATTTAAATTAGAAGGTGTTGTCAAAAGAAGAAGTACGTGTTCACTCAACTCAAAGTATTAAATTAATTCACACGTAGGCTACTCACTCGTGCAAGTGATCAGATAGGTATAAGGCTTCCGTTATGTCTACGCTCAATTTTAACGCGAAAACTGAGTTAGTATGCCTCGAAAAAGCATAGTCAAAATTTAAATGAGTGAAATCTTTTTTGTAACAAAAATACATAAAAAATGAAACAGTGGAATTTTAGATGAAATATCCGATCACATAAAAAATTTATGAACAAATAAAAGTAACAGCGAAAAATACAATGTTTAGGCATTGGAAATTTCAAAGCAGTTGATCCAGTAGTTGACGAGAATAGCGATTTTTTTCATAAGGTAACAACAAGAAGGAAAAAGACTAACAACAACAACAGGATAATTACAAAACAATCCATAGGTCCATTTCGTGTCCATTAATTAGTAAAGCGACCTATTGAATCCGTACTTCTGATAAAATTGGGACGTTAAATTTGAAGGCTGGGCTCGTGAAGTTAGTGTTCGGGGCCAAGCTGTTGCGTATATATATATATATTAGGGCAAACAGTATAAAGTGGGCGATACATTATGTTTGAGCAGCACCTCTGATTACTCTGCACTGGTTCTAATCCCGTGGGGGATAATCATGTGCGGGGGGATTGCTTAACTCCTCACCACCGTGGGGTGGTTTCCGTAACCGCTGATCGGTTACGGTTCCCTCCACCATCAAGTCCTTGCATCTGAAACAATTTACTGGCTGACTATTCCCATACCCGACACGGACTGGTAACCGGACAAGAGGCCGTGATTTGCAATGTGATAAAGCCGTCTTATAGGCTTTCCTCTCATCGGGATCAATATGTAAATCTCAAAACTGTCCCCTATAGCCTATATACACACGATGTCCAGAAACACGACAACAAACATTCACATATTATTCAATTGAGTATCAATCGTGGGTTTGTTTATGTGCGGCTTTTTACACCCAATTTAATAGGATTTTATTTTCTAAAATAGAATACCATATTCATCAAATATAAACAAAAATAGAAAAGCCCATCATCCTGTCCAATGTGCGTTCTGTTATCCGACGTTAAGGCGATCTAATCTAGTCTCTAATCAAATTATTAATTCGACCACCTCCTACGTAACTATCGATATTAATCGAAATTTTATTAAATATTTTGAAATTGAAAGCCATCATATATTGCTTCCACGAAATAATTAAAAAAGCGATGAAATGTAAAAAAAAATTCTAACCTCATTTTTAATCTTCGAAAGTGCCCAATAATCGCACACTAGCAAAAAATATTCATAGCCTATTAGGTATAGCTATATAATCGACTAATAGATGATCTTCATTTCATAAGGACGTGTCTGCAGAGAACGCATCTCAATATAACTTCACTGGACAGGTAGACTGTATGTTGTATTATCTAATGGTTTTTAAGGTAGTAATATGATGATATTCTAATTTATATATATCCGTACTTTCTTAGATCCTCTGTCTTTTAAAGTGGCTTCAATAAATTTGGGACTTTGTTTGCTATATTTCCTTTGAACTATTACGAATGCGCATTTAATAAAGAAACACTGCTTTTTCCATTTTCTCGTAGATTTTCTGAAAATATCAGCCCAAAATGGTAAAAAAATTTGGTCCATGACTTAAGTAAAGAATTACAAGCTATGTTACCAAAACATTGCAAATGTTTTTGTATTAGTTAATACAGTTTTAGTATTTCTTTCGTTTTCTCTCATACTCATGGCTAGTATAAAAATCTTCAAACTTATATATACATATTTTACAGGCAATTGAAACAAACAATGATGAAAAACCTCTTTATTCTCGGTTTTGTTATGGTAACATGCTTTTCAATGTCTGTATCTGCTACAGAATATCAGTGTCCATCATGCCGTGAGTATAATATATATATACTTACAAATTAAAAATAGACCAATTTCATGTTTTTTGCTTGATTCCAGCGCACATTTTGTATGGCGCACTAGCCATGTTTCACTTTATTCCTGAATTCTTCTCAATGCGATAGCAGTAACGAAGTGAACCTTTGGAACTCTTTGCAAAATTGTTGTTTATAGTTAGTTATATATATATCTTGTAGTTGATTTATCCGTCATTCACATTTAATAAAAAATGGTAATATTGTACAAATCTCAAACTCCGTTTTGCTGTTTGCATAAAAAATTCTGTATATTTCATATAAACTTTGCTGCTAAGTGTGATTAGAGAGGATTAGCAAATTTTGAATTAAAAGATTACATTTATTTGTTGATATATAATACAGTAAACGCTTTGGAGAATACTTTCCATATATGCAATAGGTCCAACTTTACCTGTCTGTTTATATTACAGCTTACTTTCAGTGGTATATTGACTCATGTCCAGAGCTATGTAAGGTGGACTGCTTTGTGGACCCGTGTCAGTTTGAACAATGTGACGGCGCAGTGTGTGAAGCTTTTTATTGTGGAGGGTGCCAGGCTTGCTTCTACGAAAACGGGATCCTGGTAAATGATTGCCCCTAATATTAGTTGAATAAAATTGAAATTGTGAAACATGTGATAGTGTATTTATTTTATACGTAAGGATATTTTAGTTTGCCACACCAGGATTCACCAGTTCCGAATATATATCAGTATAGACGTATCCTTCGTGGGGTATTTCTATCAATCATGTAAGGGTTATGTTCTCAATTCTCAAAAATCATTTTTGTGGCGTCGCCCTGGCTGAAAATGTGCGATTAATTTTTACTAACTATAGGAAACTTGGTATACGTATAACGTGGTCACTGGTTTGCACACTTTGTCTGATATTTACATTACAACCGAAATTCAAGCATAAACTGTTGCATCTTCAACCCAGTTTCAACTTCTACCCTATTGTGATTGAACGTTTAAACAGCTAAGTTCCGGTCAAAATAGATTCCGATGACATAGTGTTTCGGAGACCCAGTTATTGACTCGACTCGAGACACGTTTTTAAATGACCTGAGCCAGTTGATAGAAAAGACTCGACTCGGACCACCAGAGCAACTTCACTTGAAAATAACTTTTGACGAATCTTTCGAATAGTGAAAATATTCCGGAAAAGTACGATTTACGACGACTGGTAATGCTATACTGAAAAATAGAAAATTTGTTAGTTGTTGCATCAACAACTCGTAACAGGCGTAACCGATGTAACTGTTGCCAAATCCTAGTTATATTTCACAATAACGTTGGTTTAATTAACGTAAGGTTCAGTAACATAGTCCCATCACGACGTTCAAAATTGTAATTACAAATTGCTTTAAATCTACACGTCTTGTGTATGTCAGGTATTTTGTTTTCGTATGCCATCGTTTATGTGGCAACTGATTTGCTGCAGTCAGCGGGTTTAACGCGACCCTATATCAAGCAGCAAACGACGACTGCGATTAGCAAAATTGAGATCTTGCCTCGGCAGTATGGCGATTTGATGCCCAAATACTCTATCGTCAAAAAATTTACAATAATTGTTTGCCAATTTGTCAGTAGCAGGCGGAGTCCGTCTTCATTACGTGTATAGCAATAAATTTTAGGCTTATTAGACACGTAGTGGACATAACGATCGTTTCAATACAAGAGTGCTATGCTCAAATGTATGGACACTCAAATATATGGACACCCAGTGGGAATAATTTTGATGACGTAATAGCGAAAAAAAATGTGATATCCTTCTGGAGAAAGATTTTATCTTCAACCACTGAAAATTTCAAAGCAATTGGTCCAGTATTCGAAGAGAAAAGCGATTTCTTCAAAACGTGTCAAAGAACAAGGACACTAAGAATAACAATAAGAACAACAACAACATAATATTGAAACGAGCGCTATGTCCACTACGTGTCCATTTATGCTGTTGTTCTTTGACACTTTTTGGACACCTAGTGGAAAATCTAAAAAGTCGCTTTTCTCTTTGATTACCGGACCAATTGCTTTGAAATTTTTAGTGGTTAGAGATGAAATTTTTCTCCAGAAGGCTATTACTTTTATTTATTGGACACGAAGTGGACATAATGATCGTTTCAATATTGGATATCTCTCTTGTTCTTGTTGTTTGACACGTTTTGAAGAAATCGCTTTTCTCTTCGAATACTGGAAAAATTGCTTTAAAATTTTCAGTGGTTGAAGATAAAATTTTTCTTCAGAAGGCTATTACTTTTATTTATTTTAAAATTTTCTGTGGACTTCAAGAGATTCGTTTTTTGTGTTCGAAGAAGTGATCAGAATAAAAATTAGCGACACCTTGTGGCGATTGCGGCGAAGTAATATCAGCTGAGAAGCGAACGTAAATCCTGCTCCGCTACAGCGCTAAGAGTTGTTAATGGGGAATGGAGATGTTTGAGGTTTCCGGTACCCGCAATGCAGCAATGCAACGGTTTGCGATTACTTCTTAGCTAGTTGACTGATACAATAATACTGGTATGCGGTTTCCAGCTAATTGAAAAATGGTGTCACCGTAAGCTGTTACCCGGCACCGGTAAGTGACGAACACTGGAATATATCAAATGTCAGAATGCCTGGTACGGTACCGGTAGTGAAATGAATTTCCTTTACCAGGTTTGGCTACTTCGCACAAAAACCAAAATTTGTACCGGTATCCGAAAACTGGAATATACGAAATGTCGGAATTCCTGGTAGCGGTAGTGAAATTAATTTCATTCACCACATTTGCCTACTTCGGACAAAAACTAAAATTGGCATACCGGTATCCTTGCCTGACAAAATTTTGAACTGGATAAATATTTGAATCATACAGGTATAACTTTGCAAATGCTGATACTGTGAATGAATTTCATTTACCAGATTTGCCTACTTCGGACAAAAACTAGGGTGTTGTAGCCAGTCTGCTAGGCCGCGAGCCGAGGCCCTGAAAAACGCCTAGAAAGTGAGTTTCGTAGCGCACATCAGGTAACTACCTGAAAATGATTTTAAAATGTTCTTTAAAAATTTAGTAACAAATATTGCCTTGTTCCCACTTCCAAAAGTTGCACGTTTTACGGAAAAGACGCTTTTACTACAAGAAATATGTGCTACGATCTGTCCTATATTCTCTACATTTTCGGCAAGGAACAATGACTTCTGCATGACGTAACAATTGAATTAAACCAGCTGTTAGCGAGCGGATGAATATTAGTTATTACTGCTCGACCTTGCGCTGAGTTGGGCAGGCTTTCCATAGCCCTGTTTAGTTATTATTAGTTAAGTTATGCTAAGACGTTGTTGAAAAATGTATAAGTAAGTTATTAAACACTTGTAGATCCTTACCACGGATATGGGCCGTGAGACGAAGCCATGAAAACGCCCAGAAAATGAGTTTCGTAGCGCACATCTGGTAACTAAATAAATTCTTAAGTTTTGTGTGAAAACGAACATAATGAACGCATTACAGCTTGTTCCACAATCCTGGTGCGAAATTGAATATAAGAGGTTCCCGGCAATTCCCTAAAAATAAGTTTACAACACATACATAAGAACTATACAATTCGAGAGCCCTACAGCACACTAACAAAAATGTATTCCTGTAATGTTTTGCCTGACCAAAATCGGACTTCCTCAGTCAATCATAATTTATTAGGTAGATTACGAAAAATATGGCATACATGTAACCAACAACAAAAAAATACTTTAATTGTGTGACAGGAGTCGGGAGTGACCTCGAAAGCAGCGACACCAACAACGCTGATTCACATTTGCGAATAAATTTTATGTAATAACCACAAGCAGTTTACAACAAGAACAGCATAAAAAGCTACATCCATTTTATAGAAGTTATCAAACGTATTTATTTTTAAGCAATGAAGTCACAAATTAACATCGTGAGCAGGAAAACACAAATAAATCAGTTATTTCTCACTTAGAAATTTACCGCAAAAGTCAAGAAAATTAAATGAATGTACAATATGTACATAACATAGTGAACAGAAATATTACAATTTACAATTAATCTTTTTTTAGTTTATGTGGTTATGTATTTGAACAAAGGCAATAATATTTCTAGAAACAGGACTACGACACTAACAAATGTCCGAAAAAAAAATAAAAATAAATGATACTTATTAAATCAACTGTAATATCTAATTCACTTTCTTCTGAATTGTTTTCGAAATCCACTATCTCAAAAATCGACTTTTCCTCTATAAGTGTACTGTGATTTCTGCAGTCAATACAAAAACAAAAATCTGTGCAATTTAAGTTGATTTTGGCACACTTTCATAAATTATTTTGACTATTTTTCTTACACTTGCAGTTTGCCAACTCAAGAACTGATTTGAGGGCCACATGCTTCTTCAGTGAATCATTGTTGGGTGGAGAGTATAATCCTTATGTTTGACAGTGTTAAATAGACGTGCCCTGGTATCATTTACATTCTTTATATCCTCTTCAAATTCCTCAGCTTTATTTATTAATGCCTCGTTAACCTCAAAAGATTTTCATAGTCGAGGGAAAAAAATGAATTGAAAATCTCAATGAAGTCTCCAACATTAATTTGATGGGCAGTTCCAATTGCAGAAAAGTGCTAAGGTATTTCAATATGAATAGCCCATCTAAGCTGTTTGCAACTATTATGATTCTCATATACCTTTAAGCTTCAAGACTTCTTGTTTAATCCATTTTATAGCACTGATAGCAGCAGGGATCAGAGCCTGCGTTAGGTCGGATTGGTGGAACATTGCCGTTTTCTTTTGTAGTACGGTATCTAAAATAAGGAAGAAAATAATATTTGGAGCAGCGTGAGTTTAAAAATACCCCTAAATACTAACTAATACCTTGAATACATAATGCATTTTATCTGATGTACTAAATGAGCGTATATATGCTCATTGCATGTACTACAGTCCAGCAGTGTTTGCATACCATTACTAGACTATATCTACACTAAATTTTGATATATCACAGTCTGAAATGTCCTATGACAGTATGAGTATGGACTATAGACTATATTTTAAAACATCAACTGTTTGTCTACAACTTGATTTCTCACCTCTCAATCGTTTCCAATGCTACCTTTCTTTCCACTCCGGCATAACTTATCATTGCTTCCCACGTTCCCAGGTTCTTGTCGACTCTATGAATTTAGATTTAGACCAACCGACATTAGTAAAATTGATTAATTTCTTCTCTTTCACACAACCGTGCATTACAGAAACAGCCATTCATTTCTATTTCCAAATATGCTGTGGCCTATATAGTAGTATAAGCCTGCTGAATAGTCAAGAAGAGTCATTAAATTAATCATAAACATTTCAGGCAAGCCAGAAAATATCGTTGTTTGTGACATATTATTCTAGGTCTAGCCTTCCTTGGAGTTACCGCACCGTACCTATTTAACAACGTCTTATGAGCTAGTGCTCAACTAAAATTGCTATTTATGGTAAGGATATACAAGTGTTTAATATCTTACCTATACTTTTCAACACCTCCTTAGAATAACTGAACTAATATTACCGGTAACTGAAAAAAACTATGGAAAGGCTACTCAACGCAAAAGCGAGCAGTTGTAGTACATCTGATATTCATCCGACCAC